TATTTTACTACAACCTCGTACTAGTGGGATTTTCGTCTTATATTACTCTTGTTTCAAAGATTTATATGCCTAATGCTGCGGTCGCACTTCAGTCTCTATTGTCTCGAAGCTCGCTAAAAGTTGTCGCGCCAATACGATGCGGTGGTCGCATTAGCGGCTCCATAATTTTAAACGAAATAACGTGTAAAAATCCAAGATGGCCGCAATACAATTTCCACATCTATTGACTATGGACGACGACTTTCTTTACTTCTACATGTGTGCGAACAATTACTTCATGCATTTATTGAAAGTTAAAAAGAAACCCATAATGAATGAGCGCGGCTAATCGGACCGAGAACCGGTCGTCAAAGGCTTCTAGCGGGCTAAACATCGTGCTGCATGGTCGAACTAGCGTTGTTCATTTCGACTGTTGTTCTCGGACTGACACACGCACTGTCTAAATAATGGAGTGAAGCGACAAAATGGCGTTGGAGCTTTTTCACAATTTTGAAGCTGAACTCATCACACGTGCTCCAAAGAATATCCACCATAAAACCATAATTGTTAGCACACATGTCAATTCATCAGTCAGTCAATTCGTCCGGAAAATCTATTGCGGCCATGTTGGATTATTACACGGTGATTCGTTTAAAATTACGAAGCCGGTAATGTGACCATCGCATTAACTTTACCGTCGCGTTAACTTTTTAGTGAGCAAGGCATCGAAGTTTCGGCACGCATTGCTTCGCGAGATAGAAGCAGGTGCGGCCCCAGCATTACGCAGTACACAGACAACAGCTTTTGTTAAAGTCACTGCTTCTCCATCGCGTCACTGCCCATGTCATTTTGTACCTAAAAATTATGACGCAATTTTGAAGCTATGAGAACATGAATAGAATAATTTGATTGTGTCTGTACAATTAGGTTACGTTTAAAAAAAATTAAGTATTGAAAAAAATTATGATGTTAATTAAAATGTTACGCAATTTATGTAAATCCAATGGTTTTGTTCTAGTATTTTATATTTTCTAGTCCGTTCACATTAGCACTTAGCTGCCGGCAATTTAGGCTATACATGTATAAAATACATAATCGGTAGTGTAGTCAATGTAATTCTTTGTATCATTTTAAGATAGCATATGTATTTTAGTACAATTTTAATGAAAATTTATGTACATTTAATTTAATTTAAGTACATTAGCGATTTTGTTGCGTGTATTCGTGTGCTTTACACTACGATTTTTAATTTTGGTGATTCATTAAATTACTTTTCAAGAATATGTAGTCGAAGAATTGACGTATATGAAAATAATAGATCTCATCGTTCACAGAGATTTGTAATTTGAGAGCGAGTTGCATAAACTATTTTTAAGCTTTGAAGCCTTAAATAAAAATAAATGTTTATTTTAGATAACGTTCCTAAGGCCACATTTGCAAAAGGACAACAAAGTAAGAGAAAATATACATCAAAACAAAATTGGGTATGCAATCACATATTATCATAATGAACTAAGTTTTTTTTTTAAATCTTTTAAATGATGGAAAGTGACGATGAGGTCGACGATCGAGCATGCATATCTAAATAATGCCTACCTGTTCACTCTCGCCTTGAAAAGGCCCAAGTTATAACGTTCAGGGAACAAGTCTACAGGCAGGGAAACTTGCTTACTCAGCAACCCGAAGTGGGTCTTGACTTTCAATACTAGTTGGTGCCAGCGCGCCCTGTCTTCTGCGATCTACCCCCAGTTCTCTGAGTGCAGGGCACGGAGGTTTTTCTCCGCTTCGTCTCTCCATCATGGGCATTTGGGCCGACCAACAGGTCGTCAACCACTAGGACGTATCATGTGTGTCCTTTTCACCGCCCTATGAGCTGGCATCCTTTCGAGGCGTCCGAGCCAACGGAGTCTTGCCGACTTGATTTCTCTTTCCTTCCGAATGGCTATAACTAATTATAGTTTACACAGAGTTTTTAGTCAATACTAGATGTTCGTAGTGTAATGTCACCATTTATTATACTTTATATGTACATACATAATATATAAGAAAATTAGTAGTATTTTTAACCAACGAGTTACCTTTAAATAAATCCTATGAGCTAAATTGAAATTTTATACCCTTCCCAATGGACTAGTTTCGAATATTCTTTATAATCTAAAATTTATAGCTAAATATATGCCTATTTTTTTGTCTGTCTGTATGATGTATTTTGTGTTAAATAAATAGATAGTGTTAAACACGGTAATAAATAATCATATGTGTGCATTGCGTTTTTTTTATTTCAATAAAAATACACCTTAGGGTTAAAAGTCTTTATTACTTTACAGTCAAACAGAAAATAAGTTCAGAATGTACATTATTTCTTACTTATTTTTAAATATTTGGACGTACTTTTCTATGACTGTTTATTCTTCCTATATTACAATTTTAGGAAGATTTACTTAGGTTTGAGCACTAATGTAAGGCCACAAAGTGGATTCTTAAGTAAATCCCACACAAAACACAATACATGAAAACCTAATCGAATGAAAACTAAAGCGAATATATGTATTAATAAAGTTATGCGTGGACAAAGGATATTTTAATATTTATTAATTAAATTAAAAATAATGTTCTATTAATATTTCACAGTGTTGATGTGGTATTTTTGATATTTATCTAAACACATATTACTTAAAGGACTACATTTAACTTTCGTATTGAAATTACAAATCATTTATACATTTATAATTTTTTTTTTAATTTGTAGCACGAGTTACTTCCTTATATGTCAAGTTCAAGTTCAAGCAAGGAAGTTACAAGTTAAAAATTAAAACATTCGTCTAAAATATTATCTAAACAGAAATTTAATTGCAATTCAGCCACAAACTATGTAAATACTTATTAAGAATTTTTTATAATTGATTTTAATTATTTTCTGTATAAAATTTTGTAAATTTTTTTTACAATCCGTCGTGGCTGTATGCGTGTTTGCTTTTTACAACATTTTAGTTTGAGTTGTATTATCTATGGAAGAATTAAAAACAAAAACCCTCCATTTGCCAAATCCATAATTGTTCTGGTGTGAACCATATTTAAATTGCATTTACTTCCTCGCAAATGTGATAAAAAACATTGTATGCATCATGGACGGTAAAAAATACAAAACTCGAGGTATTAGAGACTTTGGCTTCGGGCTTCTAATAGACCCTTGTTATTAATTTCTGATTTACCATCCTTAATACACAATGTACTTGAATTATATGAAATATCTTTTTTTTTATCAACTTGTAGATTTACAGAAACATCATATTTATTATTTACAAAACAATGCTTTGGACGGATACGTTGCATGTTTTCAGTTTTATGTAAAATATATAATAATAAAAACATCATACGAGCTAATGGCATAGGCCTAAGGTACTTGAAATATAAAAAATGGCACAAGTCAAATTCATGAAGACACTCAGTGTAACAGTATAGGTAACGTTTTATTACTTTCTTATTACTATTGTTATTCTATTTATTTATTACTGCTCTACTTGCTGAGTTAAGGCACTTTTATAAGATCAATTTGATTGTTGCCAATACATAAAAAACCTTAAATTCGAAACTGAAAAGTGCGTACTAGAATAAAATTTTTCTAAATACATGACAACCATTTAACACTTTTTTCTTTTATTGTTCACAATGTTTGAATGCTCCTTTAGTGTTATTATAAAGAACATTTCGTAACGTAATTGTTCTCACTGCTCACGAGTTTGCTTAGTATATTTTAGAAAACTAACCTTTTTCCATTAGCTTTTTCAGTAACTATCTCATAAATATTTTCATTAGTCGTGTAGAAAATACAATTTGTTAGCTTAGATTAATTTTGCTTAACATCTATTGGACGTACTTGACGTTTCTCATTAACTGGCAAATACGATGTGTCTTACACGTACACGTAACTTCTATATTTACACCTACCTGGTTTTGCACTAATTTCTTTTGCTCTATATCAACTGAAAAAGAAAATTGCGTTACATCTCCAAATCTCATAATACAGTCCACTATAATGTAACCTTATTGCGATTTAGTACCTGCTAATGTCTGTTTCTGTGCATTCCGGAGTGTCGGCTGCCGGGCCGCGACTGCACTATGGCGTAGTGGTCGCTGTTGTCGGAGACGGACCTATAAACATCAGAGGTATAGAAATGGAGAGGCGGATCAGTATTGTAAGTTTCGCATACACGTATTCACAGAATACGCATCATATGCCATCGTGTGACATAGCCACGTCAAATTATTCCACAAAAGTGAGCAAAAGCCGCGTATTGATTACGGGATCAATGTCTCGTGACAATAACGACATCCGGCAAATGTGTTTGAACGCGCTTGAAATGTCTGGCAACATCGTAGTTTTGCGTTTTTGCATCGTAGTTTAACATTGCGCGACTTTGTCCGACGTATTTGGCGACGCGACATGTCTTATTACAAAAGCTTGTGGGTATCCTATAGGCACTTAGATTGTTTTACCTATATTAAAGCATTGAGGCGTGATGTGATTTATAGATTGTGCCTGATTAGATGAGATTTTAGTTAAATTAGACTTTAGTCATATTAGATGAAATGATTCAGCGCAGTGATTTGCTATACCTACACGTTTACGAATTGTAATAGGCAAGCACACGATTTGATGTGGGAATAAATATAAAAAACTTAGACGATAAATGAAGGTGTTACTGAAAAGTTATTGTGTTACCTAGCGGAATGAATGGTAGAGGAGGGGTACCGGCTTCCGTACTGACTGCCGTGCCAGCTGCGATAAGGGTCGTAATCCTCCACCACAGACGGGTCCTTCTCGATTACCTGTTCAAAAATAATAACATCTATTAGTTTTCTTTTAAACATAAGATTGATTTCATTTATCAGAATGAAATATTTGTATGTAAAGTGCGAAATCTTTTAAACACAACTGCAAATTTTCATTCCAGCTATTAAGGTGTAAGTTATTTTAAATTTACTTTAAAAATGACTATTGTAAACAGCTCTAGTTATTAATCTAACGTCTGACGTTTCTACGGTTGTAATGTTTAAAAATTAAATCAGCAAACTCACATCAGTCCGAGCACAGGAGCAAGTCATGGCTGTGCAAAGGAAGCAGTTGACGAGCAGCATCACCAGGAACATGACGCCCAGTGCGATCGCCAGGTACAATAGCCATATCGGCCGCACTCCGTGGTCTGTACACGCTAGAGTCGCCACTGTAACAGATAAGGAAGAATTTTAAAGACTGAATCTAGAGCTAATTTAATTGTGGAGAGTGCTTAGTAAAAAAAATGTCACACACACAGTGAGAAAAAGAAAGTCGAACAAGGAAGACAATGTACCGATGTATTTGATCGAGCATACCAACTGTAAAATATCAATTAATTTTGCTCGTGATGTTTTTCTCTGCCACCGTAGCGTTTTTAAGTAGTTTTGCGTAAAAAAATCTTGATGGTGCTTTACCTGCACTGTCATTGGGATCGAGTACAAATATTCCAGTAGAAGCGTTGACAGTTCCTTCTTCTTCAGTTCCAGTTTCGGGGCGACCGTCTTCTGTGCAGTCCGGTACTGAACATGAGCCTGTAAAGGGAAAAAATACGCAAATTGTACAGTTTTGTTTTTAAAAAAATATCACAGAATATTGCAGACCGCATAATTTTCTTTTTGTAATTGGTTCTAGTCGAACAGTAATCTCTTTTGTCGTATGTGGATGTGTTTTTAGTATTTAAGCATATTATTCTTCTGTAGTGACGGAACACTTCTTGGATCGGATTCAATGAACTACTCGTATATTTGTTTTGATAAGGTGTCCATACTGGCGAGGAAAATTTTTTCATTCCGCGGAAAGTATGTAAAGCTATCTATCTATATCTATAGTATATGAGATTAATCATCACTCGAATTTTAATCGTGATAGTTGAATATCGGTCGGTACGCCCCAACTAGAAAACAGTGTTAGGTATTACGCAGTGTGGATGAGACTTAAGATATTTAATTTTTTAATTTATTTATTTCCAAACTTAATCTATTATTACTGGTTATCTACCCAATGCAATAGACCAGCAAAATTATTACATGTAATACAAGATATAAAGCGCTATCTTCGTGAATTCATTCAGAGAACAGAATGGAATAGATCGATCCTATTCGATATTTCGTTAAGTGGTTGTGGGGTTAGTGTTGTGTGCAATCCTACATATGACTTTAATAATAATGAAGCAAACGAGGGTAGTTGCTCGCAGCCACCGCTGCGCCCGCGTTCGTGCTGAATGGCCCGTGCCTCTACCATGAGTTTACTGTGACAGTTGTCGCTAGCGACCGCGTAAATTACTTCACAATTTTGTATGGCAAATTATACAGCGTTCACAGCGGTCACAAGAAGAAACAACATTTTGTATACAAAGATTTACCTATTTCTGCCGCCAAGAAGTAATGTCAGCATTACTGTTCCGGTTTTGAAAGGTAAGGGTGCTGGTGAAATTACAGACACATGGGACTTGTCAACTTATGTCTCAGGGTTACGGGCGCAGTGGCAGCGTCCCTTAAATCTTTGCGATTTAAAGCTCTGAGTGGCACTGCAACTGTTATGGACAGGCGTGTAGCTTACCATCAGGCGCACAACTTGTTTGTCCCGTCACTTGATTTTATAAAAAACAAATTTACGCGGTCGCTAGCGATAACTGTCACTATAATCTCATGGTAGAGGAACCGGTACAGACCCCTGACAGGCGGTTCGGCGCTCAGTTTTCGTCCAATCACCATCGCGGAGGTTCATAAGGACGAACTGGATCGAAACATGTCGAGCAAAAGTTTGGCCAAAATACTTGAGTTATCCATTAGTTTAGGTAATATACTCCCGGACACATAACTCAAGCCACTTTGCATTTTCAATATTCAATGACAATGCTTCATTGCTCGAAAATGCAATTATGCAACTTTGAATTGGTATATTAAACGTCTTTTCCTGAAATCCTTAAGAGCTCTCATGCCAAAAAAGCTTTGACGTTGGCTCCGCCCAAATTTGTGAAACAAATATATGCCTGAAGTTCTCGTGACATGCGACAGGAGATGTTGAATTTTGCGCATTAAAAGTACCAAATTCGTTTTAGCGGAATAACTCTAAATGTAAAGGGATTAAAAAAAAATCCGTAGTGACAGTTATCGATCATGCATAAATAAAATTAATTATCTAATTTTTGTCCTAATAACCTGTAGCATTTCGAGGATAAAGTCGAAAAAATGTGAAAATTAGAGGTCATTTCGTGATTTTTATCTATCGAGGAAACTTTATTGTTTTATGTTTCTGATTAATGTCTATGCTTGAATATATCGTGTAGTTATTTATTATATTTAGTTTATTTTTAACTTTAAAGTGGATATATCCCTCTAAAATCAAATCGAAGATTAGGAATTTTTTCTCAGCTCCCTCATTTTAAAATCCAGAGAAAACTTTTTCTTCGACGATAACTACGTTTTTATATTGTAGCCCTTTAAGAATAAAAATGCAAGGTGGCTCGAATTACGTGTCCGGGAGTGTATATTGTTACCTTTGCAAATCGCAATTTCGCACTGGAAGTTGACTTGCGAAGAATCGGGGAATCGGAACATAGACGCTATGAAGAGTTCTGCTGCGCCATTTTCCGTTTTTACTGTAACCGATTGCTGCTTGACTGGACATCTGAAATCATAATTAACTGTAAGGTTTGGAATGCAATTGTGTTAGTATGAAATAAAAGAATACGATGGAATAAAATTCAAGACAGTTTCTTCAGTAATTTTACTAACCCTTTGTTATCCAAAAGCTCGACTGAATTGTTTCTCATATTAAATGCAAAGCAGTTTTTCATTTTTATAGCATGCGTTCCTGAAAGTAGAGTACAAAATAAATTGATTTAGTGGTTATTGATCGATATTAAAAATTACTGTTTATTCATGTGTTTACACACGAACTTACCATCAGATTTACTGATTTCAGCTCTAAGCGTGTATGGCTTGCCGAAAGCAGCGTTCATCACTTTTTTCCCGTTCTCATTTAACATTCGAAGAGACACCAATGAAGTTTCGTTTCTGAAATACAAAGTTACGACAATGTAACTAAAAAAAGGTATGTATCTTTAGTATAAACTGGAAACTGTGTTATATAACCTACGAATCTGCCACTTTAAATTATAAGAGAAGGATAATAACCACAGACATATGGCAATAATAATAAGGAGACAACAAAATAGCGACAACAACATTAGATAAATACGACAACTATTTTACGTAATGTACTTTTTATTTACATATTTCTCAATAGATATACAATTTATACTTATTCTAAAGACCTTGCCAACCTGGGCATCAGGTCGTTGACAAGACAGCGCTCTTTTCAATTACATATATGTATATATATTCTCGTAAATTTTTCATTAAATTACATTAAATACTAGCTCATTTTCTAATATAAAACTGTCGTTGCTAAATAATACTATCTATAATCACAGTAAATATACACTATAACATTTCATCACTTTTAGCAATAAATTTTGTAATTTCTTTTTCAACATAAAAAACACTTTTTTTACTAACTTTCGTATTTTCCTCGAGCCAGTTTATTTTATAGTATATTTTTGGTGTTTTAAATAATTTTTCATAATCTTCTTTATATTTTTTCTTGGTGTTCTTATTTACCAAAAACTAAAAAAACTGAAGTTTATATATAAAGGTATTGAGCATAGGTATGAACATTACCTGGCATTCCTGAAGCCCGCCTTCCCACATGTGATGACGTAAGACTTGTCATCGGCCAGTTCGAGGGTTCGATGTACGCGCACCGCGAGGGGAACCGATCGTTCATCAGTTTTCTGCAAATTACGATTACGAGAGATTAAACCAAATTAAATTAAATCTGTAAAGTTAAATGAAACCGTAATAAAACATATTTCCAGTTAATTTTTTTAACCTACATGGACCCAGGTTATGAAGAATCTCTCAGTGTGTTATACACCACGAGGTGTTTTTTAAACCACATGCACGATAAAGGTAAATTCTTTTTTAATCAACACAAATAATCCACAAAGAGTTTCTGATGATTAATATAGATTTTAAATGCTTATTAACACTTATAAGCTAAATAATTGGAAATCTGCCAAAGAGGCATTACAATTGACCCACACGTAAACATAGAAATTACTGTAGCAGACATGTAAAGAAAGATAATGAGACCAACATTATTCCAGAAAACGCCGCAATAGTCTGGGGCGCCCTGCGCAGCGGTGAGGTTGATGTCGAAGCTGAGAGCTTCAGAACCATTGCCCTGGGCCATGCACGCCGGAGTTCTGCAAACAACCATTACAGCTATTACCTTAAATTGTACAACGTTCTAAGGTCACTTCTTCGTATTGGATGAAATGCGTCTATTACTAGTAGGTACAACGATGACTAAGGCCATAGTTTTCAAAGCAGATGGTGTACCCCAGGATCTTTAGATAGAATGGCGATGTTATTAATCTGTACCTCCAGTGTAAATGGGTTAAACTCAAAAATGCTATTTTACAATCAGTTTTTTTCTCTTTCATTCACAAAAAAGTATTTTTTCAAATCTTTTCAGATAGAATAAAGAGCAAGTAATAATGATCCTGTATTTTGCAAAAATTACAGAGATGGTGGCTTAAATAACTTGTTTATATCCCTTTACACAAAAAATGGAAATTTATAAAATGGTTAGAGTAGAGTTTATCTAAAGAAATAAAAAAGAGATCAAAGTAAAATAGTACGCTTTAGACAAATTCACGCTCTTAAAATTGTTAGCGGGTATCGCTAAAACATAATTTTCACCGCTTTACACAATATTAGGCCGGTATTATAAAACAAAATATGTATAGTTTCATCTCTTTACACCAACACTCGTACGACATTTAATTTGTTCATACAAGTAACAGTAGACGTCAACCATAATTAAAATATACGATTTGCGAATGTCGCTATTGCTTGTGAGATAAATTAAAAATAAACCATTTTGAACAAATTACTTGCAAATTTTTGCTAACATTAATCCCTTTGCACAATCGTTATCTTCGCAGCCAATGATCGCACAACCACAACTGTCAAAACAATCTATGTAGCATTACGAAAAATACGCAATAGTATCAAAATCCACATTTTGGATAAACTCGAATACGATACAAAGACTAGTGGAGTAATTTCACAAAAAATAATTGAATATATCAATTTCAATTTCAATTCAAAACAAATTTAAATAATTCTAACTTTTTTACAAAAGAACAATTCGACCACAGAAATTGTGGAATTACACGTCTATTTGCCAAGTTTTATTGAATTCGTTAATGGAAAGTAGGTGAAATCCAATAAACCGGATTCATTCCCTAATTTGCCACACTTGGAGGTGGAATATTTTCTTCAAATTGGAACGAAATCGATTCACAATGTCGGAGTAATCGCGTAACATACGCCCAAAAAAATACAGTCGAAGTGACAACCTCCTCCTATTTCCTATTTATTTATAGTCGGTTAAAAGTATATGAAAATTATGATATTAAAAACATCATGATATTCAATAACAAAAGAAAAATTATAAAACGTGGTTAAACGCGTTTTTTCCTGGCGCGGTATTTAGTCAGCCCGTGACCACGACCAGTCAACTTGGCAGAAATATCATGTTAATGGGTACGTGAGCAAATACAGTTTATTCCCAATTTGGTAATGCGATTCTATTTTTTAATAAGTGCTTATTTGACCTCAATCTGACTTGATGAAAAGTGAAAAATTTTTAATATTAAAATAAAATATTTTCTGTTTTGTTTCTGTATGTATATTCTTAACCTTTATTCAAGTTTACTAAACGTCGAACAATGCAAACATCTCTTGCTCAACGAACTAGTTTTTAGATTACTTCGAACAAGTTTTCATCTACTATTGGCTATGGCATTAATAAGTCAATTTATATAAATGGCTGTCGAGATTATCTAAGCAGTTAGATTAAGTTATTTATTTGAAAAGTTACCGGCATAAGGTAAAATATCGTTTTTGGGAAGTTGTAGAATGAACTCCGACACACGCATAAATGTCCACTAAGAAACAAGCTGCTAAGGAATTTGGATATATTTCTTTGAATGTAGAACTTATTGAATTTACGTCATTGGTAAAGCTACCTACTAAAAATGTATCCATAGTTAAGTTTCATTGTTACTATCTAACATGTGTAGATAGTAACAATGAAGTAACAACGCAACATAAAAGCTGCGAGAAACAGCTCGTTTTATCATACTATACCATATCTAACATAGGTAGTGAGATCATTGGTTCTAACTAAATATGAATGAATTGGTTTAAATAAATAATAAAAATCATCATCATTATCATCATCCTCAGCTTTATTTCACCCACTGTTGGGTATAGGCCTCCCGAAGTTTGTGCCATCTACCATGTCGTGTGCTAGCCGTCCATCGACGACCCGCGACGCGTATCTCCTACGTTGTCGAACCACCTTGTCGAGCCATCTTTTGCCCATCTCGGCCACCAATCAGTCGACGGCTTACAATAATAAAAATAACAAAAAATATTCTTAATTATGTTATGGAAAAATTTTTTAACCTGTATTCCCTGGCGTGCGCGATTCCGTTGAAGGGCTGATTGAATGTGATCTTGATGGACATAATTCCGCTTTTGCATGTTGCCTGCACTGCGGGTGTAAACTCCCCGGCATTCTCAGTGTTCTGAAACAAAAAAGCATCAAGTTACGGAAAAGGAGTGATAATTAATACTTTTCTTGTACTAATAGTTATTATAGCATAAAAAGTGATTATTACTGATGGAAATAATTCCATTCCACTGCCACTATGTTCGTCTTTTATTGAAATAGTCATCATAAATCTTATGTAGAAGGAGCCAATAATAGTTTCTTCTAATTGAACGTAATTAAAAGCCATTCAGCCTGATATACGATCGTTAAATGGCGTCAATGGAAGAATAAATTGTCCACTATTTGCACTCAAAGATAAGGCAGCGATACGAGGACTTCCTGTATATATATATAGTGTCTATATATTGCTCTAGGTTATAGCATGTTCAGCATTTTTATTAGAAAGCAAGGAATACCATTTGATAAATAAATACTAAAGTACTAATAAATTGTTAAACAGTGTCACTTAATTTGCATTGTGGTCGCCAGACGTCAGTTGTGTGGATATTGCATTCTGTTGCGCCGACGCATTGTTGCTCGCTTTGTAGTGCATGTGATGAAGGACAGTTTATTGCAGAGACAAACCAGATATTTATGGTAATATACGGGTACTGAGTGGAATATATATGTTCCGACATAGATACGAGTATTTTCCAAAGGTGTACTGTTTAAAATTCATTTTTTAATACTGCAGTCTTATGTGTGTTTTCATCAGAGGAAATTCCGGATCCTAAACTGAAATTAGTATTTGAAATTAGGATGTTTTAGATCTTTACGATTGAAAGCTCTAAGCGGCACTGCAACTGTTATGGACGGGCGTGTCGCTTACCACCAGGCGTATGACTTGTTCGTCCCGTCACTTGGTATTATAACAAAAAAACCAAGGGTACGTCTTATGGACATGGAATCGCATTAAGCGGGTCAGAAAAAGCCTTATGTCTATTATTAAGAGTGAAAAAGGCGTTGTGCGTTACATGTGTGTGTGTACTGACGACCTACATGATTTTTGCCAGTTGTTTCTGCGTCGATAAGTGTGGTGAGTCCCCTAAGTCGCATAAATCGCAACTACAAATCAGACCGCTCCGTGTCTGGTAAGGCGCCGTATATCTGTATGGAGATATGCAGACATAGGAAGCGTTGTTTGGATTAGAATCGACCTACATACCAAAGTTCTATGTTTAAAAGCAAATTAAATACACCATTTTTGCTATAGAGCCATTTTAAATGCATTACCAATTAGTGAGGCCGATAGTCAGCCAATATAATATCAATGTTGCTGATTGCTAAGTCACATGTCCATTTGTAAATAAACTGAATGCAAGTTACCAGGTTGCTGTAAACTTGTTAGTTATTATGCCGTTCATACCTCCGTCTCTCAATTCTCATCTTGTGCGCCATCCAACTATCATTTAGATAAATCTTTAAAATCATGATTATTATAATAAAGCAGTAGACGCGACACTTATATCTAAAATTTCTAGCTTGTAAGTTATTTTCTTGACGTAAACGTAGGTTACTTTTACAGTTTCTATCACATTAAATAAAACGATCAATCTTTTAATTAGTAATAGATGTAAAAGATTTACATCTATCTATTCTTAATGGAACTGCCAGTTTAACAAATTGATGTTTTACGTACAGTCAATAGCACTCGCAGTATAATTGAAGATTTAAATTCTACTCTATGCGTCTTATTATAACAACGGCTTAACATCACAAAAGTAAAGTTCAGTGTGCTGTTGACCGTACCTTTTCGTAATTTACGTTGGTGTGTATTTTAGCGGATATTAACCGTTCTAACTGATTTTGAAGTAGGATTTTACGATTACGTGTAATCGTTTAGTATTTGTACAGAAAGATCAAATTATGATGTTTTTCCCAGAGAAATGTAAGAGAATTTGCTGCATACGTATATAAATTCCTTTTACAGTAAAGTTTCTAGGAGACGCCCACTAGAAATAAATATGTGTGGATGTTTGTCAATCATCATCACCGTCAGCCTATGGCAGTTTACTGCTGGACATAGGTCTCTCTCAATGTCGACACTTGGCCCGATCCTCAGTTTGTCGCATCCATATGCTGCCAACAACCTTTTGCAGATTATCACCCTATCTGGCCAGAGGGGGTCAAACCTTACAATTAAATTGAATGACAAAGATTTATTGTCTTTCAAGATCGCTTTTCATTGGCAAAATTAGTTTATACGTGGAAGATGTAAAAGTTTTTATATTTCTCAGTGATTATAATCGTCGAATGAAAGATCGCAAGGGTCGTGACTCATGTTCGATGCCTGGGGGAACCGATTCGTGACCTCCCTGATGACTTCTTACATTACAATTTAATTCTGATTTGCAAGATCCCACGTATTACGCAATTGTCGCGTTGGTAGGTTTTTTTACAGAGAATCAAACTCAGCAGGATATGTCTGCGTGTTAGGCCATAGTCATAATTCCACATATATTTCTTTTTTTTTTCCAGACTTATTAAGCAATTGTCAAGTCGGTAGGTTCTGAATGATATATTTTTTATTTCACATAAAATTACATGGTGACAACACAAAACAGGAATTTTAAAAATAGTAAGTTAATGTGCAATAGGCGGTCTTATTATAGAGTATCAATCCCAGCAGATGTATTTTGTGAGTTATATGTTATGCCCATATTGAAAGTTCCCATATTGAAATATAGGACCTATAATGAAAACAATAGTCGAAATCAGAAACCGTATCAAAGTAAATAACAAAGTCAACTTTAGTTTTATCGACGTATATTGTTAGAGAAGTCAATAGCAAAATGTGATTACGAAAGATAGCATCTCTGGATTCGCGACCACGCGACCCCCGAGGGCCTAAAGGCTGGATGATTGCCGCATTTTATAGCCCTCACGATCTGTCCCTTATTTATTTGCAATTCACTTGTGTCTAAGGAAGCGTTTGCTGACTTGAATTGTGACTTTATTATACCGAAGATTTTGTTTATTTCCATCTATGTCGTGGGTAGACGACATCGAAAATTCGCTGGCAATGGATTTGTGAGCCCAGAGCAGGAACGCGTTAGATGCCATAAACTAAAGGAGGCCTGTATGTGACTTGTTTGCACTGTGGGCATTAGGACATCCCGGGTTCGATTCCCGGTAGGATCAATTTAGGAAATTAACTTTTCTAAATTGTTTCTGGTTTGAGACTTATGGAAAGTGAACGGGTACTAACAGAACAGGGAATTCCATAGTTTGATATCAGGCAATTAGTGTGGTGATCTGGCACATTGTTATTATTATCTAGCAGTAAGTGAAGACATGGGCATTATTCGTTCGTCACTTGGTATTATAAAACAAAAATCTTTTAAGTTATAAAATCAGTTAAAATGTTCTTCATAAGTATTTGGAGATGGTCCAAATCCGTAACTTTCTTTTGACCGGTGATCGATTCAATCTTTATATGACAATGACTTAGATATTTAGCTATAAGCACTGTAAGTGTAAGTTGTACAAAATATTTAGGTAATACTTTTGCTATATTTTGATTTGTGTATAAAAACCTGGTATGTAAATGACCTTGATTAAAAACGGGTTCTATTTTATAGTCATCTTCAAGTTATGTCTAAAGCTATTAATAATATAATAATTTATTATAGTTAATGTCCTCCTGGTAATTACTAACTTCAAGTCAAGTAAAAATTGTCATAAAAATTTTAATCGAAAATATATGAGATCAGTCAGCACAACGCTTACCATTACGTTGTAGGTCTTCTATGTCTATGAGGTCACATTGATGTCAGCTGAAACTTGTACTAAGATACAACGAATCGCCGTGAAATTATGTTAAGAGCACTTATATTTTTTGTTCTTATTTTCTTACACAAACATGGTCGCTTTGTGCTAGGTTTTTGTGACGACAAATCAGCAGTGCCGTCAGTCAGGTGTCGCACGCTCAATAACCGTGGTAGAATTGCTAATTTAAATTACGTGTGAAGGTTAGCTGACATTTGGCAAATATTAAACACCACTGTAGATTACAGACACTTGTAAACAATTGAAAGAAATTTATTAATTTTAGTTTGACATGAAAATTGAGCAACTTTGTAGATGTAATCTACTTCCATATAGATAGACCTACATGAGTTAACTAAGACTGTAAAACGTGCAAAAATAATCTGGCTATTATTATATACTACTTTATACCTAGAAAAATATTTATGGCGTTATTCTTATGCTCTCTAAAATCCTTGCGTACATTTGAATCGAGAACGTATAAACTATTTATAATAAAATTAATAACTGCATCTGTGGTCGAACGGTTCGATTCCCGGGCCGGGAATATTTATTTGTCTCGTGAGTTTGGGTGTAATTTGTGGTTGTCGACGTGTTTGTTCATGTCATCCGCGATACGTGATGTCCCTTGTGTGGTGCTATGAATGTGTGCGTTATTACTATTATGACAAAGATTTTTCTAGAATTCGACTCAAGGTCGGATATTCGAAACCAGGTGTGGATCTAAGCCAAATATATAGTTTTAAACTTTCGCTTTGCATCGTACGAATATATCGTGGGAATAAACGCGTTTACATACGAATACGTATTTTTCACTCCTACCTAGTTTTCGGTCTAAAAAAAAAAAAAAAAAAAAAGGTTGCACTGGCCGTGGTCACGGGCTGACTGGTGATGTGGTGTTCACAACTCCATCTAGGCGGTGGAATCTTCATCCGGGTGGATGAAGATTCCATAGCATAACATTTTTTAAACTACCGCCACACACAACACTGAGCCAAGTATTCTGGTTCGGTTGTGTCATTCTGAAGGGATGAGAGGGAGTGGTGATTTGGATGTGGAGTATGTTGTGTCAGGCGTATTTTGGAGTGAGGTCATGTTAAAGAAGTGGCGGACTGTCGAGCAGGTGTCTAGTACAATTACTTTTGCAGAGGTATGTGGGTTTTAGGGTGAAGATCTATAATTTTGAAGGCGGTATGAAGTTTTCGGTAGGATACTAGTTGACGAAGTTATAATGGGGACTATCTTAATGGTTTCTTGGTGCCACAT